CTACCAGCCTTTTCTCTTTACCAAGGCTACAGGATAGGTATGTGGAGGAGCTCAGTGGTAGAGAGTTTGCCTAGTGAGTGTGTAAGACCCTGGGTTCCATTCCCAACACCAAAGGAAGAAAAACCTGCAGTCATGAGGGGACCCACCCAGGACTCCCTTCTTTAGCAGCCTGGTGGCAGCAGTTCTGAGCACCTTCATGCAATGCCCCTCTTCCAGGCTCCTGCAGTGTCCAGTTTAGAGAGCCAAGCTTGCACAGCCACACAGGACTGTGGGACTCTTCTTGGCCCTGAGCACCAGAAAGCCACCCTCACCGAGAGCCCACCTTCTTTCTTACTGTGTGTGAACTTTCAGTTCATGACCAATAACCTGCAGCTGCCACCAGGTTACCCATCTCTAAGACACAAAAGGTCCATTCGTGAAGCCATGAATGACCTTGAACCTCCAGCCCTCCTCAAGCTGACCCAACTCTGGGACAGTTTTGTCAATATAGAAAATAGACAGAGGAAATGAGTGCATGCTCTCTATGATCTTTTCCAAAGTGGGCCCTACCTTGGAAAGGTGTGAGCTGAAAATTACTTTGGTCCACCCATCCTGAGGCAATGTGTAAGATGCCCCAAAGCTGGTGAAGAACACTGCTGTTCTCTACCCTCCAAGTCAAAGAACCAGCCTTCTTCCCAGAGCAAGTGAGAGACCAAAAGATTAAACATGAGCAGTTATTAAAGTTTAAGGCCTGAAGTAGGTGGGTGAGAAGTCCAGTAATGCCCTGAGGGGAAGGACCGCCTTACTGCATTCTTTCCCCACCCACTAGAGATATAGTTGCTAGGAAACTGGCCCATCCCCCTAGGGAGGGACACCAGGTCATTATAGTCTGGGGACCTTCCTATAGCCAATCAATTCAAAATGTAGCATTTTGACCAATAGATGCTTGCCAGGCAGGAATCCCCCTGCCTTGGGCATGCTGGGAGGGAGCAGAATCTTTAAATCACCCAACTAAGCTGGGCACGGGGCTCTCGGTGTGGGCCCAAGCTGCAGCTTGTAATTTGTAATAAAAAGAAGGTCATATATTTACAGTGGAGTCTGTTTATTCCTGGTCTTTTGGGGCTCATGAACTGGGTAGAACACAAGTAACTTACCCAAACAGCGTCGGGCCCCAAGCCCAGGTTTTCCTTTATCCCCTAAGTTTCACCTGATCCCAACCACCTAGTCCAGCAGCGCAAGAACTGGCCTGGCTAAGATGTGCTCTGTGGCTTTCGAGGCTACCAAAGTCAAAAGGGCAGAGAGGGGCAGGCATAGCCCTCCAACAGTTCAGGCTGGTCCCAGAAGTGGCTGTTTACTTGTGGTCGCCAGGAGCAGCTGAGTGGAAAATTGGTTTGCTGGTTTTCCACAGTTCCTCCAGACTTCCCACAGAATCCTCTTGGAGCCTGGTGATGAACTACCTAGAGTTTAGAGAAACCCTCAGTGCTCCAGTACACACCATCTTTGTGAGAAGGTGGCAGCTCTCGCCAGGCCAATGCTGGAGACTGACAGAGGAGCTCCTCCCTCCACACTGGCTGGGGACCAGGAGCAGCAGCTAGAGTTGGGACAATAGAGACAGAAGGTGCCTGAGCTTGCAAAGATCAACACCCTGTCCCCACCACCCACACCCAACGGTGGAATCCACGGACTGGATCAGCTTCTTATCCTCTTTTCAGGCCTAGAGAGGAAAGGGTGATAAAAATCAGCCCTGAGGGGGCTGGAGAAATGCCTCACTGGTAAAGAACACGGTCTGCCCTTCCAAAGGTCATGAGTTCAATTCCCAGCAACCACATGGTGGTTCACAACCATCTATAATGTAAACTGATTCTCTCTTCTGGTCTTCTGGTATAAATGCAGATAGAACACTCATATACATAAAATAAATAAATCTTAAAAAAAATCATAAAAAAAAATTGTTAAGAGCCTTCAGTGCAACTCCCCAGCAAGAGTACACAGTCCTTCCCAGGCTTCACCACGGCTACCTCTCGCTTCCCTGAGTGTAAGGCACCAGGATAGGTACAAGCATGTCCTCTGTGGGATTGCCCCCATATCCCATCTTCCTCTCGCCATCTATCATGTCCACTCTACCAGGGAGGGGCCTCTACCAGGGAGGGCCTGCAGCTAGGACTTCAAGACATTTGGCCCTCACCCAGTGAGATTCTGTTACATGGGGTGTGGGGTGTCAGCTGAGCTATGCTCACCCAAGGCCTCTTACATTCTTGAAGTCCTCATCTTTCCTCATCTCATAGATACCGTATCAGAGGTTCTGGGGAGATAGAAACCTTGGCCCTTGAAGGGGTGATTCTAACACTCAAAAGTTGGAGGAACAGGACACCAGGTATTCTAAAAACTAAGAAAATCAGCAGGGGTTCCTGAGGCAATGTGGCTACAGTTTCCTGACTCACGAGCTTATGCATCCACCCTTGATCCTCATATCCTCTTGTGCCCCATGGGATCAGACAGCTGACACTCTGTGGGTCCTGTTCACAGAAGCACAGCTGGGGACAAAGTGAGCCATTGCTATCATCTCCCCTGGTTGCCTGGCTCTGTCCCACCTGTCTCTTCTGATGATCTAAAGAGTCCAGCTCTCCAGGGTACATGATATGACAGAAAAGACAGCTATAACCATGACCCCTTAAGTCACCAGGGAAATATCGGTGAGGAATAACTTCCTCAGATAACAGTTTATGTATCCAGGGGCAAAGGGGAAATAGTATACTGATCCACTTAAAGATAGATGGTTCAGCCAAGGAACAGCCATAAGGGACTGAGTAGGCAATTGTCTCTCGTGATGTTATTGTGCCATGCCCTGGCACTCACACCCAAACCTCCAGCTTCCTGAGTGCAGAGCCACACGAAGGCTCCAGGAGCTGGGTGCCACCCAGCTTTTGGTCCCATGGCTCCACAGAGGCTGTGGAAAAGGACAGGCAGGCAGAGACCACAGAAACAGGTTTCAAGGTAGCACCAATGTTGCTACAGAGCCTATACAGATAGACTGTACAGAACTTGATTTCAGAATTGTGGAGCCAGCACAATTCTGAAATCAAATCTCCAAGTTCAAATCCTGGCTTGGTCTCTTACCAACTGTGTGACTTTGAAAGATGTGCAGTTTTTCTGAGGCTCATCTGTAAAAAAGATAAAATGGAAATTCTAGAGGAGTGTAATGACTTAAAGGAACAGCATCTACAGAACTCCTGATTCCAGAACACATGATGAAAATGGAAAGGGGGGTTGAGAAGGGACTGGCATACCCCCCATCTAACAGAATCTCACTGGGTGAGGGCCAAACGCCTCCTCTCTCCTCTAGGACCGCAGGTCTAGCACTACCCACGCATCTCGCTAATGCTGGCATTTAGGGCCCTGGCAGGCACACTACTGCTAGTCAATATCCTTCAGGGACAGGAGTGCAGATGGACACATTTCCTCCCGGGGACGGGCTAAGACCACTCCTACATCGTTGTGGACTCTCAGTCCCAACTGCTGGCAGCCTCAGTTCCAGGAAAAAGGAATGTTTCTGCCCCTCTGGGAAACTCACAGCAACTGGCACAAGGGCTGTGATCACCCGCTCACGGTTACCATCACGTGCTACCACCAAGTCAAGCCCCTGCTGGAAGACATAGCTTCTACTAGACCCTTGTAGCCACTTTTCTCCAGCCAGACCAGCAGGAGCAAGCAAGAGTAGATGTCCCCAATCCCTCCTGTTTCAGGGACTCTACCCCAGCATGTACACACTGGGGTAGTTAGTCCTCACTAACTCACTGCCACCATGGCGAGGGCATGGGAGGACGGATGGAATCAACTTATAATGTCCACTGCAGAGCTCTGAGTCTGCCAAACAGCACACAACTCTCCAACTCTATTCCATTCCTACTTAACCAGATGCTGAATTGGAACCTTTCTTTTGTTCTGGGGAAGGAGAGGTAACCACGAGGCACAGTGGAACATGCCACTTGGGCCACTTCCCCTGAAGAGAACAGGCAGGGCTTCCCACAGCCAGTGAGAGGCCTTTTCCTCTCCAAGAAGAGCAATGCCAATTCAGCTGAGGCTCCCTGGGCTTCACTCAAGGCAAGTACAAAATGCATTCCCTACTGATGCCATCAGTCATCATCGACTGTGTGCCCTGAACTGCACTAGGCCCAGGAAGATCCTTGGGGTGTGTGCCAGGACATTAGAATCACAAACTAAGCATTCTAGAGTAAGACAGACCAGCAGGGCTGGCTTCACCCCGACTTTCAAGTCTCAGCTCAGCCCATGACCCTATATACATTAGCTTCGATCCCCCTGGAAGTCCCTCTGAGGAAGTACATCCGCCAGGGTCTCTGCTTCCTTTGCAACTCCCTGTCCTGGCCACCGTGCAGATGTCAGGCACAGCACTAGCATGCAGATTTTTCCTCACAGTTCAAAGACCCCAAACCAGAAGAACTCTTTAAAAAGTTTCTAAATTGTTGGCTCCGGTCTCCCCCATCTCTCTCTGGAAGGGCTGAGCACGCCCAGACACATCATACAGACACTGAGTTTCCACACCAAATCTGCCCCTGTTGGTCCGGGAGAAGTGACTGCAATATTTGCTTCTTCCTCCCTATTCCTGGACCTCAGCGGGTCCCCGTCACAGCTTTCCAAAGCCCGGGCAGCTAGTAGTCTCCGGCTATGAAGTTCGAGGACTCCCTTTCACGGTGGAAGGAGCTGCGGGACCAGCAGAGAACCCAGACTGGTTTAGAAGTCCCCAACCCTGCGTTCCCAGGAGCACGCTTTTCGGAGGGCTCCGGACGCCCGGAGTGGAGAAGACCTTCGCCTGTGGCTTGTGCTGTGACCCGGGAGTGGGCACCAGGCAGCTGGGAATCTGGCAGCGCTGGGGTTTCCCCGCGCAGGGAACTCCCTCCCGCCCCACGCTGGTCCTTTCTCCTCCCAAAGTTTGGGACGCCGTCGGCGCCCGGCTGGGGCCCAGGAGGCGGTGCCAAGACGCGAGACGCGGGCGCCCAACTTACCCCAGCCGAGCCTCCTCCTCCTCCCGGCGGGCGGATCCGACTGTCCGGAAGCCAGCGTCCAGGGCGGGCAGCATCCTCCCCTAACTGCGCCCTTTGCTTGGAAGATGCTGGGGCCGCGAGTGCGAGGAGGGAGGCGCGCTGGGGCTGGTCCCCTCGCTGGGCGGGAAGCGGAGCCTAGCGGGCGGTGTCCTAGCCACAGGCGAACTGTCGGTCCTAGCCGCTACCCCAATCCCGTTAGCGGCCGCCGGCGGCCTCCTGAACCACAGCCAAGGCTCCGGGAGCCCCTCGCCTCTCCACCGCGCTCCCTACCTCACTCCACACGCGCACCTCGCAACTTGGGGACGCCCGGTGAAGTTGGCCGCCTCTCAGAGAGGATGGAGGAGGCGGAGGACGCAGGGAGGAGGGAGGAGCCGAGAGGGAGCAGCCCCCACCTCCTTCCCCCCCCCCCCAGCCTCGCTCTCCAGGACCCCTCTGCCAGCCTTTGTTCCCGACGTGGCCGCGTCCCCACGGACTGCTCAGATCCCTACCCTGGAGGACAAGGCCGGGAGGAGCTCCTAGCCCCAGGGAAAAGAGTTCTGGGAGTGGCTGCTTGGAGAGCTTTCCTGAAGCCCCAAGCTGTTACTCACCCTCAGGGCTGACATAAGAACCTTCCTGACTCTCCGTGAAGGCTCCCTGAGAGTTTGGAAAGCCACTGTGCACCTTCCCTGGGCAGCAACAGGTCGCAGTAGTGTCCTTGGTGCTTTCTCACATAGACCCCAGGGCAAGAAGCAGGAAGGGTCCTCACAAGAAACACAGAGGGACCTGGAGCCACTTGGACTGCTGGCACCCTGAGGTAGGGGGCATGTAGTTTGGGCAGTGGCCAGCTGGATCTGTAAAAAGGCCAGTTTCGTTAAGATGACTCAGTATCGGAATACAAACTGAACCTCAGGGTTTGTGTTCCAATCCTGATGAGGCAGCCTGTCCTTGATGACTCCCTGTCCAACTTTCTTCCCCAGACTTTCCATCCCTTTGCCTCTAGCTAAATTCAGGCTCAAGACAGCATTCCTGACATTTTATGGCCTCATGTAAGTTTTAGACAAAATGGACAATTTTCTATAAAGGAGTGAGAAAATAAAAAAAGGAAACTTACACATCTGTCGCCCCCCCCCCATCATTTACATCTGAGAGAAAAAAAGTTAATAATAGATACAGAGACAAACAGAATAGAGTGGGACCCAGGCAGCCTCAAGACCTTCCTCTCAGGTCCCGAATCAGAAGGCTGGTAGGAATCTGTGAATCTGCTGCATAACATTGGCTTGATCAAACTGCCCTTCACTATAATGTGAGACCTGCTGTTCGTCTCTGTCCCGCAGCCTGTGGAAGAGACAAAAACTGGAGAAAATTCAGACCAAGCTCACTTCTGGGGAACTCCCTGGCTCCCTCATTCTGCATTGTCCCCTAATAGACTCTGTCAGTCACCAAGCTCTTCTGCAAATCTGGGTAGTTTTACACACACACACACACACACACACACACACACACACAAGCACCCAATGCTATGTCTTTTCAGATGAGAGGCTGGCCTGCCACTCTTAAGAACTTGTCAAGAAGATTCACTGACCTGTGTCTGATGGCCCCATGCAAAACGCTTTTCCTTAGGGACACAGGGAGTCTTGGAGTTTATCACCAGGAATTTGTGATATACCTCAGGGTACACAAAGGCCAAAAGTTAGAACTTTTGTGTCAGGCTGGAAGTGTAGCTAAGATATAACCTGAAATGCTCAGCACGCATGGGAACTCTTTCCCCAGGGAGAGAGGGCAGCTGGTTCCTGGGCTTTCAGTGCCGGCATCTATCTGACTTGTCATTGAGTTCAAAGGTTTTAGCCAAGAGCCTGAAAATTTTTTCATCCTAAAATGTACAATATCAGTATACAATATACTCAGTATACAATATCATTGAAATAAGATTGGGGCTCCCACTTCTCCTTATTTGAAAAACAGGGAAGAACTAGCTGGGCAAGGTGGCTCATGCCTATAACCTCAGCATTCAGAAGGCTAAGGCAGGAGCTCGGTGGCACACACCTTCAATTCCAGCAAGAGGCATGTGAGTTCCAGGCCAGCCAGGGCTACATATTAAGACTGCCAAGAAAGAAAGAAACATAAGAAAGAAGACATTGTATTTGGTGGCAGTGGGGGTGGTTTTTATGCTTGGGTTTTCTTGTTCATGTTTGCTTGTATTTTGAGACAGGGTTTCACTGTTTAGCCCTGACTGACCTGGAACTCTCTAGACCACCTCTATGCCAATAGACAAAGCTGGCCTTGCATTCACAGAGATCCCCCTGCCTTTACCTGGAGTGCTGGGATTAAAGGTATATGCTAACAGGTCCAGCTCCCACCTTTCATTTTTAAAATTGTTTGTTTGTTCTGAGACAGGGTTCTGTAGCCTTGATAAGACTGGAACTCCCTCTGTAGACCAGGCTGAGCTCATAGAGACCTGCCTGCCTCTGCTTTCCTAGTGACCTCCTTAAAAAAGTAAAAGCAGAAATGAGAAAATTTATTAAGAAAAGGAAATCAGGGCTGGAGAGATGGCTCAGAGGTTAAGAGCACTGTCTGCCCTTCCAGAGGTTCTGAGTTCAATTCCTAGCAACAACATGATGGCTCACATCCATCTATACAAGGAATGTGATGCCTTCTTCTGGCTTGCAGCTATACTATAGACAGAACACTCATATATGTAAAATAAATAAATAAAATATTTAAAAAAAAAAAAAGAAAGAAAAAGAAAATCAGAGTCGTATGGCAGTGGCTCACATCTGTAACCCCAGCACTTGGGAGGCAGAGGCAGGTGGAGTTCCATGAGTTCAAGGCCAGCCTGGTCTATAGAGAGAGTTTGAGGACAGCCCAGGACTACACAAAAAGAAACCCAGCCTCAAAAATAAATAAATAGAAGGAAGGAAAGAAAGAGGGAAGGAAGGAAAAACAAAAAGGAAGGAGGGCAATCAGCCCCTGATGGTGGAAGTGGGCTAGGATGCAGGGAAAAGCACATGCTCCAAAGCCTTTTTGAGACAGTCTCTAGCCAGGAGTAGCCCTGAGCTTGCTCTGCAGCGGAGGCTGGCCACGAACTCCCCCTGCTCCACTTCCCATACAGCAACATGCCTAGCTCTTGTTTGTTTCTCTAGAGAGGCTCAGTATAACCTTTGATGGAGTTTTTGGCTATTTCAAGATGACAAGACCCAGTAGATGTGCATCTTGATTCTGATTTTGTAAAGTGTCCTTACCTTAGAAATTAAATCCTGAGCAGGCAATGGTGGAACACACCCTTAATCTAAACACTTAGGAAGCAGAGGCAGGGGGATCTCTCTAAGAGGCCTGGTCTAAAGAGTGAGTTCTAACATAGCCAGAGCTACATAGAAAAACCTTGTCTCAAACAATAAAAACAAACAAAGGAAAGAAAGAAAAAATAAAAGAGCGAGAGTGAATGCACACGCAGAGAGAAGGAGAAGAAATTCGATCCTGAAACACAAATGCAAATGAAATGTTGCCCACAGGTGTCAAGTGTCTTTCTAAATACTTGGCGGGAATAGTGGGTGTAGGTGGCTGAAATTCCGCAGGCCATCAAGTGACAACTGAAGCTGGGGAAAGGTCCACTGTGCTCATCAGACCACTCATACTGTTGGTGTTTGAATTTTCCTTTAAGGATCCTCAACATGATACCCACACCTGTAATCCCAGCACTCTGGGTGGAGACATGAGGATTGGGAGTTCAAAGCCAACCTTAGCTAAACAGCAAGTTCAAGGTTATCCTGGTCTATCTAAGACCTTGTGTCGATTTTTTTTTTTTTTTTCATGCATGAGACCCTGCATTCAGTGTCCAGCACCTCAAAGAAATAAATGTGGAGTTGGGAATATAGCTCAGCAGGTAGAGTATTTGCTTAGCATGCCAGAAGGCCTGGGTTCAATCCAAGAACCACATAAAACTGAGGCACCTGGGAGGAGGAGGTGGGATGATTAGAATTCAGAACCGCCTTGGACCTTTTTCAAAAAAAAAAAAAATAAGCAAGCATAAGTTGCACTAGAGGCTAACTGTGTGGGCTGAAGTGTATATTAGTTGGAACAAGATGTGGCTCTATCTGTAGGGGATACACAGTCCTTTAAAGCAGCTCTGGGAGGATATACAGCAGGACAGGGACTGGCTACCTGCCACAAGCAAAGTCACTCTGAGCGTGGAGTACGAAAGAGCTGATGTGAGCCCTGCTAGGGGCCAGCTGGGGTCCCTTGAACAGGAGAGGGTGGCTATGGGGAAGGTGAGAGGATTTGGTATGGGGAAGAGAGAGAGGCTAACTCAGAAAAGGCAGTACAGCCAGAAAGCTGCCTTTTCAAAAAAGTAATATTGTTTATACTGAAAGGACCGGGCCTGACTCCCACCCCCCAAACGTCACCAGTCCCAGGAACTAGGCCATAGGTCACCAATTCCAAGAATAAGAAAACCATAAAATTCCCTACCCAAGGAATAGCCTGGAGGTTACCACAAGAATGGGAAAGTATCTTATCTCAGGGTAGGGCACCTGTGCTGGGCAGCCCAATGAACTAACATTCCTTGGGGTCTATTGATAACTCAATATTAATTATGTTAGTTAGCCAATCACTTTGTAACAAGCTTGCCCTTGCTGAAGGTCATTCAATCCTGTAACTGCTAAGCTGGGAATTCCAGGTTCTTCCTCAAATCCCAAATAAAAACCCTGCCATGTAGCTGCTCAGGGCTCTCCTCTCTGCTCCACGGGGTTGATGAAGGTGGAGGGATTGAGCTTAAGCCCATATAAATCTCTTTGCTCTTGCATATGTGGTCTGGCTCCTGGTGGTCTTTGGGGACCTTAAGATCTAGGCACAACAATACTCTGAAAGCTCCAAGCTGGATGGGATGGCCCATGCCTTTGACAAGTGAACTTGAGTCATCTTGAACAGCAATACACACTCTTAACTTTTGAGCCATCTCTACAGCCTTTGTCTTTCCTGGTGTTTTGAGACAGGTCTTATGTAGCTCAGGCTGGCCTCAAACTCACTGTGTAACCAAGACAAC